GGACATAACTACACATAACCCGTGCGCGGAGGAGTTACCACGGAGGCTCATGAAGAAGAAGTTTCAAGGCCGGCTGCGAAAGTTTGAAGACACAAACATGTAATTAAGCGACGATGGCAAGCGCAACGGAAAAAGTGCACAAGTAGAAAAATGCATACAAAAAATGAAAATGCCGGATGCCGACCTATGGCTGTCTTGGAATGGAGGGATTCCCAGAATTTCCAAGAGGCAATCCACAAGTATGGAGCCGACGACGATGAAGGACACACATGTGGTACGCGAAGAGGTACAGGGGAAGGAAACGCAAGGGGAAAAAATTGGTACTTGAACGCAGTCCTTCCTCAAAACGCAGGTACCTACACTGCAGTAGAAATGCAAGACTCGGAGGTAAAATACCCATTGTGAAAGTCAAAGCGAAGGTCATAACTGGACATGATTCACGTGCGGAGACGCTGACACGGAGACGTATCAGGGAAGAGTCCGAAGGCCGGCTAAGAAGATTGAAGACATACGCGCTTAAGCACAGATGGTAATCGTAACGGCAAACATGACGAGGGGAACTATGCAAATTGAAATGAAAAGGTCGGATGCCGACCTATGGCTCTCTCGGAATGAAGGGAAGGGATTCCCACAATTTCCAACAAGTGATGCACAAGTATCGAGGAGGCCGACGACGAGGACTCACCCAGTTGCGACACGCAAATAAGGATAGGGGAAGGAAACGCAAGGGGGGAAAAGTAGGACTTGAACGCTCCTCTATATAACACACGTACTCACCAATGCAAGACGGGGTGAAATACCCATCGTGAAAGTCAAAGCGCAGGTCATAACTACATGTGACTCAAGCGCAGAAAAAGTGACACGGAGACTCATGAGGAAGAAGTTTGAAGGTCGGTCGAGAAGGTTTGAAAACACAAACGCCCAAGCGACGATGGAAATTGCAACGGCAAGACTCGACAAGGAGAAGAATGCATAAAAAACATGTAAAGGCCGGATGCCGACGTATGGCTCTCTAGGAATAAAGGGACTCCCTTTATCTGCAACAGGTAATCCACAAGTATGGAGGAGTCCGACGCCGATGAAACGGCACACATGTAGTACGTAATGAAAGATAGAGAAAGGCAGCGAAGGGGGGAAACAAGTCGGACTTGAACCCAATCCTTCTTGATAACGCAGGTCCGCAGAAATGCAAGACGGGGTGATAAAAGACCCATCGTGGAAGCGAAAGAAAAGGTAATAACCGCATATTACTCATGTGCGGAAAAGGACACACGGAAACTTATCAACGAAAAGTTTGAAAGCCGGACAAGATGGTTGAATACACCACGACGCAAGTGACGATGGAGGTCTCAACCGCAAAAGTGCAAAAGAGGGAAAGAGGGAAAGAGGCCGAAAAACAATTCCCCCCGTGGATCGTGACCGGTAGGGTCAAAACGATAGAGACAGAATGGTAGAAAATAATGCCTGGCCAACGGAAGACATACCACCAGGTCCCGAGATCCCCGACCAAGGAAAACGTTGTTGAGAAAATGGGGAATGGTGCATACAAGAGCACATAATGGAATGCAGGCTATGTACCTCTCGCAAGGCATTTGGTGTAACCCCCAAGCACGAAAATGCACACCGCGGCCGGTGGAAGGGGAAAGTCAGGGTCGCAGATTCAGTTGTCGTCTCCGCCGCTGCTGTCGTTGCTGTCGTCGCTGTTGTCGCTGTCGTCGTCGTCGTCGATGTTGTCGCTGCTGACAAGGGTATCGTCGTTGCTGGCGTCGTCGCTGCTACTGTCATCACTCGCGGTGTCGTCGCCTGCCTCGGGGATCGCCCGGAACACGAAGGGGAAGAGGCATTGGTGTTGGGGGTGGTCGGTCCGGACGAAGAAGAACCCGACAGGTTAATGGTGTCGGACGCAGCCGGCTGAAGCTGTTGTGCACGTGTGACGATGTCCATGTTGTCCGTAAGGGCGACCACATGGTACCCCCACCTGGTCTGGTTAGACCACCGTTTCTTTTCAACGGCGGCAAGAAACGTAGTGTCAAGTATATACGAAGCTCTGGTCTTCTGGTAGTCAGCGTCGAAACCGACGAACGTGTCTCCGTCACACATGAGTACTTCTTCAAGCACCTGCAGTGGCGATTGAGCAAAGAAGGGAAGGAACAATACGGTAAGGTTGATTTCAAATAACGCTGTGGCGAAAGGCAAGGCGGAGGGATGGGACCCGTATGGCACGATGCACACGAAGCAGATTATGTGCGGATCGTTGGTGGGAGAGAAGAAAAGGGTATGGTAAGAGATGCGGTATGTAGGCCCGCCACACATCCAGAAACCGAAATACGTGAAGTGGGAAAAATAGAAGACCCTGTCGCTATTTTTGCAGGCAGGCTTCTTCAACGACTTGAGGACCACTTGGCTGTATGTGGACCTACGAGACTCCAATCGACACCCAAGGACCGGTAGGAGTGTGTGGAAATTGTCCATACCGCACCAGTCGTCACTCCCACCACTCCAACTTATTGCAGTACAACAGTGGTACGATGCGGAGGATGTTCCGAGGAGCCCTGCACTTCGCGCGGCAACCACAAAATGGCAAGAACGTGGAGAAATGAACTCACCGGGGTACCGATAGACATCGCAGAAGTAATGAGAACGCCGTCGGGGGCGTGCGGTCCAACGTCCTCCGCGCCGTGGACAGGAACGACGGTAAACAACGTGGGCACCACGTCATAATCGTGGTGGGTGTGGGGGTTGAGCCTGCTGTTGCAAGTGAAGGGCACGCCCAACCCAAGGTTGCATGTCGAATTACACGGCGGAGTGCCGTACCCGCATTTCATGCGGATGACAGGGCCTGTGTTTGTGAACCTCAGTAGTACCGGGTAAACGCCCGCGAGTGTCTGTTGGGCGGAAACGACGTTGAAGGATAAGACCTTGTTCCCCGTAGGGACGGATTTATAAATAGTGGTCGGCGGAAGGTTCGGGCCGGAGTTGGTCGGGGCGAGGGCCGCCAAGAACTGGTCCCTGCGGTCGTTGTTCTGCAAGAGGCCCATTGGAGATGGGGCAGTTGTACGGTCGGAAGGAGAAGGAGGGATAACGTTGGCATGTGTTAGTGGGAGAAAGGATGGGTACGAGAGGCACGTAGGAGATGGGGCAGTTGTACGGTCGGAAGGAGAAGGAGGGATAACGTTGGCATGTGTTAGTGGGAGAAAGGATGGGTACGAGAGGCACGTAGGAGATGGGGCAGTTGTACGGTCGGAAGGGGAAGGAGGGAAAACGTTGGCATGTGTGAGCGGGAGAAAGGACAGGTACGCTGTAAGCATGTACGGCGTCCGCGTGTATGGAGATGAGGAGGTCAAGGCGGGTATGAACGCAGGTGATGGTATATTGGACGTTGGCGGACAGGATGAGAGTCGAAGGGGGTGGATAAACGAACCATTGAAAGGTCGAGGACAGGGCATATATGAAAACGGGAGGAGAGACAGGTGGAGCGGTTGGGCGGATGGAAATTTGATGAATAGCAAAGGTAAATGGCCGAGTTGTGGAGTGGAGCAAGTACGCCGGCCAGTATGGGACATGTGCGGGTGATCATAATTGAAAAGGGTTGTGTGTGGAGGTTCGGCCGTGAGAAACGGTGCATGGAAGCGGAATGTTCGGCCCGTTGGGAAGGATGGCGTAGGTATGTTTGGGTGTGAACGTTTGCCAAGATGATTGACGAGGAGCGGTGATGGTGTGGACCGAATGTGCAGCCGACGCCGTTTGAAAGTCACACGTTGTTCCGATTTTGTTTGGTGCTTCAACGCTGGGGGCTTGTTGAAGGCGTCTGGGGACAGCATGGTACGATCCCCGAGGTAAATGGAGGCGTGCCATGCGTTGAAATATGCACCTTGACAAGCACAATAACTGCATCTGAAGAACGGCCGGCAAGAGTCGTGGAAGTTCAGGAATTTGTCCTCATGCTTATTTCACTCAGTAGTTTACGTCGATCAAACATGTAACGGTTAATGAAATAAAAA